CACTTCATCCAGCAGCACGGGGCCGGAGCCTTCTCCAAAGTAAGCCTGGCCCCACGCCTTGGCAACACCCCTGTGGAAATGTCAGGAATGCCCAGTCAAGAACATGCATGCTGAAGATTTCCCTTTTCTCTGCCTTTTGGGTTTTAAGCATAACTTTCCTAGAGGAGATTATAGATGTACAGCTTGGGTATGAGGATTCTAATTTTAATTTTAATTTAATGTTTATGCGTAGTAAAAGTAATCCGATATATATTTCTACAGTGACTTTCATCTGTTGTCCTCAAAGCACATTAATCAAATCTCAAATACCCAGATGAGGCAGATAAAAGTGATTGTTCCACATTTAGTCATGTACAAACCACAGCAAAGAGATCTTAAGTGACTTGACAACCAGTCAGCAGTGGAAATAAGAATAGAAAGCAGACCTTAGCCTTGTGTGGGGTATATTCTGTGTCAGCATCGAGGAGTTTGAGCACAACAAGCTATGTAAATTGAAAACACTCCCGTTGTTCAGCATTACAGAAATTATGCAGTGTTTAACACTTGATGATCTATCAGGATTTTTCTAATTCTGTTTAAGATACCATGTCTGTCATATGTAGATGTTCGTCATGGTTTGGTTTCTTTCCACTCAGTGGTTTCTCTGTTCATATATTCAGTCTAGTTTGAAATGTCAAGGTTAAAATGCCTGTCTGAATTTTTTACTGTAATGATTTACCTATCTAAATGATTAGTTTAAATTAAGTAACATACAGTTTTCAGGGCCAAAAATACCCCCAGACGCACAGCAGGCAACATTTTAGCAAAACACATAGCTTCAGTCTGAAGTCAGTGCCTTAGACCTTAACCTTTTCTTCCAAATGACCTTCCTAATTCCAAATAACATACTAACAGACCTCTTGCTCTGTTTTTCCTTTAACAATGCCATGAAAATTTTTAATAGATTGGAAATTATATTTTTCATTGAGATTTGAAAACATTTTCTGATTGCCCTTACTATTCTTCCATATACTTTGATAAGTAACCAGGCATCTTTATATGCAGCATTAATTTACTGAGCAATGGTATTTTGCAATGCTGGTAATGGGAAAAAGAGACAAGTCCTTCATCTCTCATATTTCATAAAGACTTGCTTTTCAAAGTGGTTGAAAGTGTGAACAACTATATAGTAAGCTAAGAAAATATAATCCATAGGATACACTGATGGTAATACTTCAAATCTTGGTATCCCATTTATATTTAAGCATCTAAATAAATAAAAACATATTTGTTTTCCAGTGTATTTGGTACAAATGTATAGAAAATGTTAGAAAAAAATCCTTATTCGTTAAGAAGCTGGCTGAAATCAAAGAGATAATGCTTCACTACTTTGACTGCAGAAAACAAATTATACCATAATCTACTAAAGTGCAGAGTTCCAATAAAGCATAGACAAAACATCCCATTACTATAACAAGGGGAATTTGTATTGAGCAAAACATATTTATGAAATAAAAATGATAAATTTTCATTATTTTTCACCTATTAATGGTATATTTATACTGTGAAGTTTTATAGAAGTGCTGCAGAAGAGTTGAAGGGGTGTGGGAAGCTACTTATGATTTTATGATTTCTGGCACGTTTCCAGATGGATTAACAGTATGCAAATTTAGATTATTTTTAGTACTTCAGAACTGGTCTACTGCCACTGTTGGTAAGATTTCACTTCATATTAAGGAGCACATGTGTTGTGACATCTTGCTTACTTAAGAAATTCTGTAAATCTCCAGACACGTTTCAAAGAGACTTAGCAGACTTAGCACCATCTTAATACAATTTATTTACTCGGAAAAATGAATCAAATTAGAAGCTTCTCAGAACTGCCATTTCAGATCATTAAATATAAGTAATCAAAAGTTTTAGTGTAATCAGCAAAGAGGCAGGTTAAGAGCATTACACTTGTCATTACTATACAGAAATGCAAAGCAGAGCTTAGTAACTCCTCAAACCTATTAATAGTGGCCCAATTCAAAAGCAGGAAAAGCCTGTAAGAAGAGAGACTTTCCATTAGGTATTCCCAATTGAAAATTTAGAGGCATATAGAAATACAGCATAAAATAAACTGGGGGAAAATAAAAATTATGTCAGAAGAGCATGTTGGTTCCCACATGGCTCCCCAGGAGATCTAGTAGCTTTTTAAGTACTGCAGTTCTCATCCTTTTGAGCTAATTTGGGTGGTACGGGCAGCCCAAGGCTTCAGTTACAAAATAAGTACACTCTGGGGGCCACCCATGAATGCCACCAAGCTTGCTGCCTACAGTGCCACTTCTTTCAACTCATCATAATCCCAGCAGGGTTAACAGGCGAGTTCTGTTCTAGTCTACCCTGCATTTACCTGCTTAGTTCTCATCCACTCTGTCTCAGACATAATCCCTTCTCCTCCTTGGGATACATCTTAGTGGCTTCTCTGCCTCTTGCTCCTAGTTCTTTCCCTCTTCTGGCCTTTCATCCCAATTATCCCCATCTCCTTCCTCTCTCATTCAGCAATTCTCCTCTGTCTCCCACTCCTGCAGCATCTTCCTTCCAATACTGAATACTCTCCTGTGTGGTATCAGAATCACCCCCGGCTGTTGAGAAGAGGAGCAAGAAAATCCTGTTTGGCTGCTGTGGCTGTATTTCGGCCCATGCTCAGTTCAGACAATCACTGACAAGCTTAACTGTCAAAACTTCAAAAGGTCTCTACCTCAATATATGCAAACTGACAACCTTCAGAGACTCGTGATTTAAACAAATCTTGAGAGATGCTCACAGGTACGCCAAAAAAACACATTCTCTCTGACAAAGCAGCGCTCTTACGCCAAAGCAGGGAGGCTGTCAGGCTCTTCAGGAAGGATTGGAACAGTCAAGCCAAATTCCTTTTCATCACCTATGTGTTTGGGTTGAAACCTTACAGGAATCCTAGTGAGTTTTCACTGAAAAGTCAACATTTATTCTGAGACACATTTTTTGTCTGACCTACAGACAAAACTGTCCCTATCATATGACACTGAAAACTGGATCCTGTAAATCAGAGTTCCAAGGAATTAAAAGTAATGGCACTGTACCTAAACCTTCTATAAATAAACTTAGTGACTGCCCCATGGTATTAGTGCACTTTTAAAGGAGCATTTTTTACACACTTCTCCTAGCTTCAGCTGTGTGTGTGGTAACTCTCCTGCTTTGCTGCTGGAATAAAAAACATGTAGAAAAACAAACCCGAGGCCAAGCTGCCGGCAGACAACTTCAGCATCTGCGTCATCCCACTGATCATCACAGACTGTCCCCCACTGGCCACCGTGGTAGACTTCTACTCTTCCTTCGTGGGCGTTGCTCCCTCCAGCCAGCCGGATCGGAGTAAAGACGGGGGCTGTGATCCAACACAGAATATGGAAAAGGTCATTTATTTCCCAAAATAGAATCCTGATAGTAAAGAAAAAGGAAGGTGCTTAATGGTTTCTCTGACATCACTCCAGAACCACACTTTATTTTTTCTAGTTAGATGGAAAACCTGAATTTAAACTTCCTAGAAATGAGCTCCCCTCAGCTCCACTGTCACTAGCTGAAGAATAATACAGACAGGTATTATTATACAACTATACTGATCTTGAATTACCTACATGTGAGAGCATTCACAGACACTTAGTGCTGTAAAGCCAAATACTAAATCAGTCTGTAGAGCTGCATTTCTACCAGTAAGAGCAAAATTGCCTCTGTATAGGCTTGCTCCTGGAGGGTAAAATCTGAAGTAAGAGGCAAAAATTATTTTATTGACATGGAAGTAGTAATTCATCCTCCTGTTTTCTCATTCCTTTGCTAATTCCAGTCAGAGCAGTGAAACCTCCTTGACTGGAGTCTCACTTTAATTGTCCACTTCCTGTTTCTGGTCTTTTCAAATCAATAGCTCTCTTCTGGTGCACCAAGAAACTGTCCTGAAAGCATCACTTCTGCATAAAGCTATAATAATGGAAACAGCTTAAAGCCACATAGACCCCCCACAATTGTTCTAGTATTAACAAGGTTATTTTAAAGTTTCTCCGTATCTAACATATGAATGATTTGAAATGTGAATAATTTTTGTGTAGCCTTCCAACCAATTAATTCTACTATTTCATCTATTTCTTGGCTTCAAAAAAGAAAAGGGCATGTTACTGTTCCACCGATATGAAATCTGGGGCTTTCTGCAATTACTCAAAAAGGGTAGTTGCAGTAGAACCTTCAAAAACTTGAAAACATTTATAGTTTTCAGTTTCTTTAGGCAAAACTACTTCTCTTGCTTTGGTCCTTCAACTTGTCTCATACCTTAAAAAAAGTCTTCTCCCTTCCTTCTACTCTACAGTTGCCTACTAAATTAAGACCAAAATGTTCTTTTAAAAGTCATTTATCAAAATATTACTCATTAATAGGAGAGCATTAGGACAGAAATGCACCTGCTTTTGGATAGGAATGTAAGTAGGAGAGGAAAGGCAGCACAGAACTGGCTGCAGCCACATGTTCTGGTTACAGCTGAAGACGCCGCCATTGCCAGCTCCCCAGCACCGCCAGCCCAGCCTTCCTCGAGGCCAGCAATATCCTAAATCTGAGGGCTTAAGTGCCCATTTAGTTGCTGTTTAGCACGTTGATTAAAATAATCTGAAATATCTTAAAAACATTAATGATACTTTTTTTCCTATTAAAAAAATGTGGGGAGATACAATCCTACTTTTACAGCCAGAGATTCTTGCTACTTCACCCCTTCTCACAAGCTACATCTCAAAGCAGCAATTTGCTCGTAGATTATGGAAAGGTAAAAAGTTTTTAAGCTGGTTGCTCCTTGCACAGCACAGAGGTATTTGAAGCAGTTAATGATGTGGTGATTCAATCTGTTTAATTTTCTCTTCCAAGAAATCTTAATATTTTTTCTAATTTAATAATGAGTAATTCCTACTACTTCTATTTAAATAAGAGGAGGAGTTAACCAAACCATATGTATTTTTTTTACCCAGGGAGGAGCTACATGTGACAGCAGCTGCCATTTTTTGAGGACATGTTCCATCCTGCCAGGTGTCTTTTTCACATAACAGTATATTTTCTTCATCACCACGACAACGCACTTCACTCCAGAAAACAGGAATAAGGCCCAGTCCAGAAAATGGTATGTGTTTCGCTGTACCTTTCTCACTGTGAGAAGAATAATCAGGATAGGATATTAGAGTGGGAGGAAGGGAAGTGGGAACATTTTCTCATCTATAAATCTTGGAGTAGGAAAGAAAGGCCTTTCTTCAGTAGTGTAAATTCATCACATTTTCATACAGTTCAGCATTGTCTTCTGCACAAAGAAGAGTAACAGATGTGACCCAGTTCTCACCATTTTGTTGTGGGATATTTTAGTACAATGATTGTGTTGCTGCAGGGCCAACTGCATTCCTGTTCTCTCAGTTCTGAACTACAAAAATCAACAGAGTCCACAGGTGCATCTACAGTACCAGCCCTGCAGTCACACTTTCAGGAGAGTTAATTCCACCAGGCCTTTCACCCTTATCCTCTCCTTTAGTCCATGAAAACATACCAATGCTGTGCCCATCTATGTCATATATTGTGGTTGTGATGATGGGACAGGGAAACCACCTCGTACTCCATTAGATCAGGCCCACGTCCATTTTTCTCTCTTCGGCCATTCCCATCCATCCAGACCATTTATAAACAGCTCCCTTTCCTTCCCATACCAAATCTACAGCAGCATTTATGGAGCCATCTTTTCTTCCATATAAAGCCCAACAAAATTAAAGCAAAGCCCAAATACTGTAATATCAAAGGAACAGATGGATGGAAGCACCTGAAAAGCACCAGTAATACATATGAGTTCACCTGGTGGTACTTAGATCCAAATTTCTGCCAGACACTCATGATAACAGGAACTTCAGCTCCTGTTTGCTTGGGGCTTTTTGGCCTGGGTTCAGCTTTAACCCATTTCTGTTGACAACACCAAACCACTCACCTGTATTGCTGATCTGCTTTTGCTAAGAGCACTCTCATTCAGCTGAAGGCTCAGGGTATGGGAGCAGAAAGAACTTAGGTGAAAATGAGGAGAGGGAGACAGTGCACGTAGACAGCTGAAGTCATAAGCAAAATCACAGCCTCCAGATGGCTGAACTTTTATCTCATCTAATCCTCATATTTTTATAAGTTGGCGTGGTGTGTCCAGATTAGTATTGAACATTATAAACCAGCTTAGGTTTAGTTCTGGCTAGCAGTCTTAAAAAGTGGGGTAATCATGAGGAATGTCACAGTGCAAGTCTGCTCTAAAAGCCCCTTACTGCTTGTAGCAAGCAAAATCACTGCTTTGCTATATGAGTGAAAGAAATATTATAAAGGCAATAAAGCCAGACAAATTATGTTAAAGTGTCCTTTTGATTAACTCCATTCTGGCAGCAGCTCAGTGAGGACAATGCAGAGATTTTCAACCTGTCCAATACTGCTATAACTGTAAAATGTTGCCATTTTCCAAAAGTTAGGATGAGTCCCAGATGTTTTTTGGCAGGATAGAATGGATGATTACCAGGGTAGTCCCAGGCTCCTGAGAACCAGGAATTTTCCTGTGATTAGGAGCCCATGTAGAGTCTAATTCTGGCCACAATTACATTGTTATTGATTCAATAACCTCACTGGAGCTAAGTCTCACTCCTAGTTGAGAGTTACATATGTGAGATCAGGATCAGACTACATATTTCTGTCCTTGTGGACATCTCCCAAATGTCTAAGGGAGCAGTTTTTGTTTGCCCTAAGCTTTTTGACCCGCTCACACATTTCACTTTGAAGGCAGAGCATCTGCCCTGGTCTGCTCCTCTCCAGGTGCCATATGCAGTTTTCTGATGAAATACTGGTTATCACAGCAACCTCTTGGAAGTGTAACGCGAAGGATTCTGGGGAGAACAACGTCAGCATTTAACAGCTCTCAAACAGAAAAAGCAACCATCAATGGCAAAAAGCCCTGAGGATTTACACAATAGTTTGTCCTCTATACTGAAACATTAAAAATAAGTTGACTGATTTTTACTCTGAAACTTACCCAAGTGCAAGCTGTCGACATACAACTGTTGCATCATTATTGTCCCAATGGCTCCCACAGATTGTTCCCCAGATTCCATTCAAATAAACTTCCACTGTACCTTCAAACTCATTCTTGCCACCCTGGAGTCTCACTGACCCTAGTTAAAAAAAAAATAAAAATAAAACAATTAAACCTCCAAGATACTCCCTTGCTCAGTTACTATATCCCACATGAAAGACTCCAAATCTCATTTTCCCTCTGCAGAGAGAGTTTCTGTGTCATGTATTAGTGAGCTGCTTCCAAGAAACACTTTGGCACACCTAACATTCTTATACCGTGATATACAAAAGGAGATAACCTTATTTTTAACATTTTACTTCTTATACTGAAATTATATTTCTGAACCTTCTGATGCTACAACTTAGCTAAAAATCTAGCAAAAAAGAAGTATGTGTAGACTACACAGTTATTTAAATGTGATTTCCTCTACCCAAATGAACAAAAAGTGTATATATATATGTACATATATGTGTGTATATATATATATAAAAATATATATAAATGCTCTACTTTTATCTTTCACAAAATTCCATCGAACTTAAGGGAATCAGAAAACAACCACATGTATTGCATAGCTCTTGCTCTGACCCATGGAACATTATGCATGTATTGGATGTCAGCAGTTTATTTTAGCCAAAGAATGCATTTGTTCATACTCGTTCTCAGACAGAAAAATATTGGATGTAGTTCTGTTAATTCATGAGAAGTCTTTACCAAATTCTCAGACAAAGCAAGATAAAAACATAAGGAATTGTCTAAAATGGGGGGAGGGGGAAGTCTGCTTCTTGAGAGCTGCAGAACACAGAAATCCAAGAAAATTAGCAGATGTTGCATTTTTCTATTAGGTAGTTTTACTTGGGATGCCAGATGCTCGTGTTGTTGAAGGTAGCCAAGGGCCACTGCTAAAGGTGGGAAATAGCTGTTCCTAGGTATAACTCCACAGAGGCAGAACAGAGTCATAACAACAAGAAAGAATACATTTCTGTTAAATTTTCAACTGTTTGAATTAGTATTGCCTGAAATCTTAGTTAATCCATCTGCCTCTGTTCTGTGATCTACTTAAAATTAGAAACTACACCATCATCCAGTTCGCAGGGGCTTTACCAGTGGGAGGAAACAGTCAGTGTTTGTGCCTGCATTTCATTGCATATGTGTTAGTGTTTGTGTAAATAATAACAATAATAGGTAGGTCCACTTTTTTTTCTCAGCTTGTGTCCCAGTTTTAGTTCAGTATATTTTATAAAACCACAAAGCCAAACAACTGCCAGATAACTCGAGGAATTAATTAACCTCAAACTTGGTTTTGCATGTTCCTTTCTGCCTCCTGTTTACTTTCTCAGCAGTAGCTTACTGTGCAGTAAATTGCAAACAACATTTATTCAACTCATGTTACAAGAGTGAGCTATCATTTCAAAGAGAGGATTATGACTGAGTCAGTTATAACAATACTGTAGACATGTTGCACATCATTTATCTGCCTTTACGATTTTTCTCTTTGTGTTTTTCTGTATGTGTCACAGACAGAGTCTGGAATTTTGTTTATTTCTGCTCTTCAACAGACTTTTGTGTCGACTATTATTTTCACTTGAAACATCAACTGCAGGCATAGCAAAGTGATTCCTGACATACCAGAAAGCAAGTTTGAAGATGTCATCTCCAAAAATAAGTTTATTTTCGTGCATGATTGCTTACAGTCCTGCATGACACCTACTGAAATCAATACAGTGTTTCCTGAGTACACATTACACAATGTTTCTGTTCAAATATTTGAATAAGGGAGTACTTGAAGAATAAAATTCTCTTCTAAATTCTCCATGGCAGAATTTGGCTCACTCCTCCTTCTGTATTTACACAATTCCCAATGACAGCAGGGGAAGAATTCATTCATGTACATAGAGCAAAACACAGAAGGGGATTGTTAAAGGTAAATTTAAAATATTTAATCATTTAATTTAAAATATTGATTTTTACCCGATAAGTTAATCTAGAAAGAAATAAAAAGACAGCCTATTTTTACATGTAACTAATATTAAACCTGCCATTTCATAGAGCTAACCAAATCTATGGAATATGCACTTTGAAGTATGTATCAACCTATATCATATGACGAGTCATAATTATGTAGCAAACAAATCAAAGGGCACACTAATGAGAAAATTATTTCTCTGGTGTTTCCTCAAAATGTTGTGGTATTCAGACACCTGGTAGTTATACTACCAGGTCAAGAGAGACATTAGCTACAGTAGCAGGGATACCTCATAAAACATAACAGAGCTTTAAAATCTAGACTTTCAGTATAGTAGCTTAGTTTTTCTTTCCAACAGATAAAACTCTTACTCCATAATGAAACACAGATCTGTGTTTCCTGTGTAAATTGATCACAGGGAACTGCAAGATGACCAGCCTGATCTGCCATCTCTATGTTTATGCTGTATTACAAAGTATCTATTTATGTGTGAATATTTTCATTGCAAGATGGTCAGTGTTTGTAAAATGACCAGGAAACACTTTTTCACTTCCTAGGCAGCAGCAAAACTAATATTTAGCATGCTTAAAAGGATACTGGTTAATTCTTAATTTCACTGATTAAGTTTTTTGCTGTTAGATTTTAACACCTCAAGCCCATACTGCACCCGAGCACATGTGCCCAAGGGGCTTCCTTCTGTGCTGCCCCTACAGCACGAGAACTGTGCAGAAGAGCACCTTCATTACTTTTTAGCAAACAGCTCTGGCTTAACTGTATGCACTGGAGGCTCTAGGTTTCTGGAGTCACAGGAATAGGAGCATCTCAGTTGTTTAAGCTATAAGTTTTCAGCTCTTTTAGTTGCTGAAGAAAACCAAATATGGTGGCAGTAGAGCTAATGCAGTAGTATCTACTCTCTGCTCTCCATCAACTCATTACAGTGTCAAGCCTCTCCTTAAAGTGCTTCTCAAACCTACACTGCCTCCACACCACGTTCAGCAACAGGGAACGGGAGCACTGGGATCCAGCCCACAGCTCTCTGCCCTCCTCAGCACTGGTCAGGATGAGGAGAGGTGAACTGACCCCACAACAGTTAGAAACAAGGGCACAGGACCACAAAGCAGGCCTGCTAGGCAGCTCTAGGACACACGCTGTGGTCTTAGAACAGACTTAATTCAGCCTTATATTAAAAAATACAAATCTACTGTCCTGACAGAAACTCCTTATTTATAAACACTGATTGTAATTGTGTTCTAGCTGAGGTTACTGCCGGTCAATTCATGTTGTTTACATACAGTCTGGTAATTTTAGTTGTCCTGGTATCTGCCCAAGTCAGAGTCTTTCCTATGTGCTATCACTGTTTAAAGGAGATTAAGTTATACTTGCAAATGCAAGGAAGTAAGGGTATCCAGTGGGTGCTGCTGAGACTTGCTCCGCAACACCTGCCATATAGGCTCAAGATGAGACACCCAGGAAAAAAGGGGGAGGAAAACCACTCAGCCAACTTTTAATTAACTCCACAAAGCAGAGGAGCTTCAAAGGAATTGTGCTGTTGTGATTGGCCTCTTTTCCTATGCCATTCTCCAGAGAGAGAATCTCTCATGTCCAGAGATGCTGGGTAACTTCAAACCCTGTTTTATTTTTTACATTTCACTGGGAACGAGCATTGTTACTGTGCGTGGCTGGATTGCAAACAGAATGGGAATCACTTTCACTGCTGCTGTACTTGTGTTACAAGTGGGGTTTATGGTGTTGGCTAAAGGTGTGCCAGTAGTTCCTCCATAAATGCCTGTGTCCAAAGGTTTGCAATTTGGCTGTCAATGTAGATTGGGAAAACCGGGATCAGAAGTAGAAACTGTGCCTTTTACCCCGGTGCAGTGTGCTCTGAAATGGCAGATTTAAAGTCAAGCAGAAGTAGTATTCTGAATATTAGAAATCTGTAAAAACAACAAACATTTTTATTTCTGCTTTAATTTCCAAGGTGTTCCAACGTGGGATAGCACCACAGAAAGGCCCAGCACTGATAATTCATCTCTGTTGCCTTGAAGTCAATTAGGTAAGTCCAAACTGGCATCAAGTGTCTCCCATTGACACCTGCTGTATATCCCATGTAACTGCATTGTCACTTGTAGTATTTCAGAACACTAGTGGATGGTTCATAATACATACAGGAGAGTCTATCCCAGCCTCAGAATGAAACTAATTCATCAGTTTTTATGAGGTACTTGTAAAAAGCTACCTGTAGTACAGGTCAAATCTAACACCAGTTCAGATCAACGGAAGCTTTTCTTCCCTCCCAGGATCAGGCTAAAATCAAAGAAATTAATCCTGTTGACTTCAGCAAAACTATGGATGATGCTCAGTGTGATCAATGTACGCTGTTGTCTATCACTATTACAATTACTTCCCCTTGGCATTTGAACCTTGAAAAAGGGTGCATCCATCAGAAGTCCTTTTTAAGAACTATCCTGAGAACTTCAGCAGATAGCAGTATTGCATACTCGAGGATGCTTACATTAGAACTTTCATAAATATTGTATATACTGAGTGTGTAATGTGCTGCATTGGTTCCTCTGCAGCAGTGAGATCCATCATGTCATCAATCAATGTTTTAAGGCTCTGAAAAAACTAAAGTGGTCAGAGCTGGAGAAAATGAGGGCTCTCATGCTGTGCAGCTCTAGTAAGAGTGGTTCCAGAGCTGCTGCTTCTTAGAAGGAAAATATGGACGCTTATGTTTAAGTTTTCATCATATTTTTTCCTTTAACCCAAAAAAGCCAAAATCTCAAAAGGCCTTCCATCAACTGTCTGGACTGTAGTATAACAGGTAGGGAGAATGATTAGTGTCCAGACTATGAGCCTGAGGCTTGATTCTTCTCTCACAGAAGTTCGGTGAAGCCTTATTTGATTGGCCTTAGTGGAATTACCCTGTGATAAAAGCAATTTAAATGGAAAGACTCTACAATCAGGCACTTCTGGAGGTGTGTACTTTATTTCCAGTTCTGCCACTGATCTCTGGCAAAGACACCCTCTCTTGTATTGTTTCCTCTCTTTGTAATAGAAAGGAAGATAATTAACCCACTTTACTTGAAGAGCTTTAAATTACATTTGTAACAACATATCATGCAGAATACTGTACATGCCACACAAACATTGTGTGGCAGCAGTTGCTTCCAGGTACTGAACTAGGCCTCTTTCTTGAAGCCCAAGTACAGTACAGGTAAAGTGTTATTAGCAGTAACTAAAATACTAAATTCTGCTGGATTTATGCTGGCTCTGTGTAGAGAGCACTCTCGTATTCATTTATTTTCCTCGCTGATTTCCTTGGTTAATCATGATATTTTATACATATTTGTATTTGGTTTACTTGCTATCAAGGCATGAGTAAGTAATATTACCCAGATGTCTCTCATTATAGAAGGAAGGAAATGAAACAACCGAATTTATTATTTTTAACTGTAAAACTGATTTTAGACTGGTACCACATAGTTTAATTGCAAAGGGGCTTTTATTTTTTTAATTTTTCATTGTTAATGTTCAAATATAAAGCGGTTTAATATATATACATGCACAAAATGTAGCCAGTTAACTTTGCAGGTAACTCTTAATATTTAAGCTCGAAAACCCTGGAGATTTACAGTTAAGCCTTTGAACATGGTATTGTATTCAGTTATTGCAGGTGCCTAATACCAAGTGTGGGCTTCCTTAGCCCAGGTACTAAAACAGCAGGTCAGTCTGACCTTCCCTAGCTATAAACTGCATCATAACATTGTCTTACTTGCATTTCTTTGCTTCTTGCAAGACAGGAACATACTTCAGGAGGAATGTTATAACAGTGTTTGTTTCTGGGGAAGTGGCTTGATTTATTTCCATGTTCCCCTATGAGCCACCTCACAAACTCTCTACTTATTTCCTATTGCCCCCACGAAGGCTTTTGGGCAGAGGTCTGCCCTGGTGATGTCACTGAGAGTTTACCACTGAGTCCAGCAGGAGCAGATGACCCTTCCCTTAGAAAGTATTGGCTATTGTTCAGTAGCCATGTCCTCCCTCTTAGCAGGGGCCAACCTGAATTTCCTTTTTCAAGGGGAACAAAGCAGCACTCTGAAAAGACTGAAGAAACACAGCTAAACCCAAATCATGCAGTATTTTTGGTGGTTTTTTACTTACATCCCTTTCATGCTGAACTTACAGGGGATTCTGGAACTAACTTACTTTACTAAGTGCAAGATTGGGTTCTTAGCAATAAACTGCTGTGTTCTTCTTCACTATTAGATTAGACTAAGTCCTCACAAAGTATTCTGGGAACCAGACTGAAGAATTCTGAAAAAGGCTATTAATATGTTGGGCTAATTTAGAGAAGCAACTGTGGGACCCTTTCCAAAAGTGAGACCAGTTAAAGGGCATGAAGTCTTCTGCATTTTTTTTCATCTGTGTCTAGTTATGTGTTTTACATGCCATCAGCTGCCTGGTATTCTTTCTAGGGAAACATCTGTACTGCATAACATCATTCTATCTTCTAGAAGGAGTACAACATTTCACTTGAAGCATGGCTTTGGAAGCTGCATTTTTTTTAACATGTAAATGATCAATGTGGACCTTGGAGCCTCCATATCCTCTTCCTGTGATATGTTATACCAAAATGTATAATTATCACATTGTTCAGGTTATCATCTTTTTTTCGGACACCTTCTATGGCTATTGTTGGAAGAGAAACATAACAATCCTTTTCAGTAATCTGAAATTAAATTAATGTAAAAAACCCACAACAAACCCAACTTCCATAAGAACAAATTATTATTAATAATATTAATGATGAACTTCCTTGCTGACCTTGTACTATTAGAAAATATGTAAAAGGAAGGGCAACAAAGCAGGGAAATTTAATTTTTATTGCAATGATTAGGCTTGATCATTTTTAGTATAGATAGGACATAATCCTTATATAGGTGGGAGATAATATCAGAGTGATGCAGGAGAAAATGTGAAATCATTCAAAGCCAGACTGTGCTATTGACATTTAATGTCGATACTGATGAAATGTAAAGCTGATCAAGGGCTGAATGCTGAAATTGCTGCTCAGTCCTTACACACTGAAAACTCCCCTGAAGTCAGTGGGAGTTCAGCTGGGAGTGTGTGGGGAGGGAGCACAGATCTCTTGGCTCCGTTTACAGATGTCCTCGAGCACCATCGCTAACTTGTGAGCCCCAAGATACGGGGTAAAAAAAGACAGACAGACAGACATACTGTGTGAGCAGATCGCCTTTAGAGCAAGGCATCCTTCCGCTTCTCCCTCTGCCACTTCACTTCTGTAGACCAAGTGCTTCCCGGAGAAGCGCACCCCGTTACAAAGAAGAGAATGCCAGCCAGCCTTGGCTAGCTGAGCCTCCTGAACACTCACAGCACAGCTTCGAAACGCGATTTACCCACAATTAGAAAACTGCGGCGGAATAACCTCTGGTGGGACCTTGGTCCTTCCGCTGCACCCGCTAATGCTCAAGTTTAACTCTCCTCTCGGAACAGCTTTGGCTGTCACGTTGGCAAACGGTGCCCGTCCTCCCATTCCCCGTTCCCTCCGCGACGGGGAACCGGGTCCGGGATGGGAGAAGAGAACGCCGCCGCCCGGCCAAGGCTCTCTCGGTCTCTCTGTGCCTCTCCCCGTCCCGCGGACCCCGCGCACCCTCCCGCCGCGCTCCCCGCCTGCCCGTCCGCACTCACCTTGCTCGCAGCCGGCGCGGCCCCGGCCGGCCCCGGGGGCGCAGCCGGGCCGCCCCTCGGCGCCGGGCAGGGCGCAGGAGCTGCGGCGTCCCCGCGGCGCCCGGCCCGCCGCCCCCCGCCGCGGCAGCGCGGCCGCCGCCGGTGCCCAGGGGCGCTGGGCCGCGGGGAAGCCCCCGGCGGGGCAGCCGGCGGGGGGCTGCGGGGGGCGGGCGGCCGGGAGGCCGGCGGAGACTTGCCCCGGCCCGCGGGCTCCGGGCAGCGTCCCTATCACCAGCGCCACCACGAAGCCGGCCAATGTCATGGTGCCAGTCCCGCCGGCTCGGGTCCATCTCCCCCTCTCATCGCGCCCGGGATGCGAGGGGGGAAGGCGGGGCCGCGGCGTCCCGCTAATCCCCCTCGCCGCACACCCCTCCCGCGGGGGCAGGGCGAGCGGGGCGCGGGGAGCCGCGCAGCCCCGCCGATGCCGCCTGCCTGCCTACCTACCTGCCGCAGCCTGCCCAGCGCGGAGGGGAGCGGCCGCCCGGACACCCCCGCGCCCTCCCCGGCCGCCCCCCTGGTTCTGCGCTGCGCCCCGGGTTCTGCGCTGCCCGCGGTCCCGCCGCAGCCCCTCAGGCTCACCCCGCTTCTCTCTCGCACTTGGGGCTCCCCTACCAGCCACCTTCTCGGCCCGCGGCTGTGTCTCCCCCGACCTCCGACAGCCTCACAAAGAGCAGAGGGAGCCCGGGCAAAGCCTGGCCTGGGGAGCGCAGCTTCGGGGCGAGAGGGTCAAAACGCAGGGCGGCTGGGGCGGCAGAGGGATGGAGAGATCCCCAGACGTGTCAGCGAGGAACAAAGGGGCTGGAAACAAATGCCATGAAATGTCTTCGAGGGCTTAGCATTATCCCAGCCCCATGTGCTCTGAATAGTAATCTGCTTATTCCCAACCGCTGCCGAGGACTGCATGACCTGATCATCTCTGATTTCCTTTTTCCACCGGGATGGCTGTCAGTTACTTTTGCTTCTTTGTATCACACTGTTTAGTTTTTCGTTTGGATTAATTATTTTTTAATTCACCTCCGGTTTTAATCTGTGCTGTTCATATATTGTAAAGTCCAGTTCTGCCTGATGGAGTGCACACCCTTTATTTGGCAATTTGTCACTAATGTGAGTCTGTAGATTCACATCTCCATAGGATCTTTTTTCCTCTCTAATTTTTTTGTCTGGAATGTGTTTATTTGGTTTCTGGGCAAGCACATCTGTATTTCCACAAGCTTTCGTTGTGACTGGAGTCTAAAAGAAAGAGGGTGCTTCCTGCTTCCCAGGCAGGATCCCACGTAAAGAGTGTTCCTTCCTTTAGCAGCCTCC